ATATACTACAAAGTAGCACAATTTTCTTTGAGCTATACCTAGCTGTCCTTGAATCTAAAAGTATATAAAATCATTATTAGAAAATCAAACATAAAAAGAATATTAATATTGTAGTATCATTTCTAGCACATTTCTTAAAAATCATGAATTATTTTAACATATTGAAATTTTTCACCTGGTAAAAGTAGTTATGGTTTTCTTTTAAATGAATGTCACCATCTTCTATTTTTAAGCATGGAAATGGGTTTGAATATTAGGTAATGTGCGCCAATAATGTCAAATTATGACAATTCGCAGAAAACGTCAACTTTTTATTTAGATTTTAATGTGCAAAAGCCTACCTACTTTGGATATTGATCGTAGAAAAAATATATTCAGAATAATGAAACATTATTATTAAATAACAAGTTTTTTTATTGTCAAATTTAATACGTAATATTATTTTTTAATTGCAAATATTTGAATGTTAAAATTATAGCGTTTAATTTTTTTATTCAATGACGAACTCGAGAGTGATAGAAAAAAAATACTACCTACCTTTAATGCAGGAAGTCGATGTCAATTTATCCAAAAATAAAACTGATTAAAATGTACAATGAAACTCACTAGGACACTTGGCACAAATAAATCAATTTGCTATTAAAGAAAATAACACTTATTAAAAACAAACAGCACAATAAAACACTTCAGAGACGTGTGATGTAATTTTGAAAACTAAATACCCGTAAGCTTGTTTGTAAATTTATAGACTCTTAACTCCTTCCCCCAGCCTTCATTAAGTATATTAAAAGTCGTGACGTCATATTGGCACAGATATACGGTAATGTGTTATTGACAATCAGGGAAATGTTTCTAGGAAATAACTACCTAAGATAAGATAAATGAATGTTAAATACCTACTCATAATATCTATTGTAGGGTTTTTGTACTTTAATAGGATAAATATTTATGCGGGCCTGGAAATTCCAGGAAATGACCGTCAAAATTACCCAAAAACATTAGGTTAGTACCAACATCAGATAACAGATAACTTCGGTATTTAACCAATTAATCACAATTAATATTCCTGAACATTCAAATGACAAAAACTTCCATCTTTAACCAATGAGAATATAGTTTTCATTCGATACTTCAAAATCACAATTTATTAATTAGGTAGAATAGTTTTAAAATATATTGCGAATTGCGACACGTCAAGCGTCCCACTCCGACTCAATGTGACGCAATTATTGTGGCAATATATTTTGAAACGACTCTATATTCGTGACTTGAAATTATAAACATCCCTCGTATTGCTACCCGTATATAAACCAAATTATTTGTTTTAGGAAGTATTTATATTTAATGTGAGGCAAGATATCGTTTTTGTTGTTGCCATCTGCATAATACCTACCTACATTCTTTACTTTGGTCCAGGAAACAAAGTCGATTTTCGTTAAAAATAAAATGTAATAGGTAGGTAATACTTTATGAATAAAAGTATTGAAATAAAGTATGCTCATACTCCAAAATGAGTCCTAGAGTTAACATTTTTATAATATTATAAATGGCATATGAAACGATTGGACCGTTTTCACAATCGCGAAATATTTTTTTTTACTTGGTAAAATCCCGGCAATTATTGAAAAATAGATTTTATGTTCAGGACTATTATTATGATCCTTCGAACTCAGTCCTACTAAAAACCGGTTTATAATACAATATAATACTATATCCCCTAATAGCTAGTCGGTCGATCAGTGGTAATTTGAAATGGGTGTTCACTTTTTCCAATAATTTTATCATTTGTAAGTTCGGATCAAAACCTTGTACAAGAGTCAATATCACTGTTTTTTTATTATCTGAGTTTGTATTAAGTGTAATTATTATTATCAACATCATACTGTTTTCAAGCATTACAACTATTAATAAATGAATATTTTAGTTAGGGTAATATTTGTTTTTTTTTTTAATACGTTGAAAACAATCTAAACATTATTAGTTAGTAAACTGACTTTTCCTCATAATTTGAGATTTTATTTTTAAATATATATCAGGTAATGTAGAAACTTTACATTGATTTTTGTGTAAAAAATTTTATATGAAACTTTACCTACCATTTTTTAGTTTTTATTGTAAGTTTAATCATTTTCACAATTTGTCACAGATGTCAAATAAAAAATATATTTTTGAAATACCTTTTATTGGCAAATAAAATAAGAACTAAAATGTTTTAAATGTTTATTTTATAAGATCAGTCCCATCCGGTCCCATCACAATACATATTACACAGACACAAACTAGAATAAAGATATATAATGCCTGGCATTCTAGAGGATACTCTTCGTACTTTAACAGACCCCCTTAACCCCCATTTTCAACCAGATTGTTTTCACAATCAATAGGCCTCATCTGCTTTTAGAGATTGATGTTTGCTAAATATTTCAAGTTTATATCATTTTTCAGTTAGGATTTTTTTTTATATTTTAACCCCCCTTAATTCCCCCATATATTCATATATTTTTTTCAGTATCAATAGGCTTTATCTTCTTATAAAGCTTAATTTTTACTAAAAATTTCATGTTGATATCGCTTTTCGTTTTTAATTTAGGATTTTTTAATTTCAACCCATCTTAACCCCTATTTTTAATCAGATTTGTTAAAAATCAATAAGCTTTGTCCTCTTATAGAGCTTGATTTTTGCTTAAAATTTTCAAGTTGATTTCATTTCTCGTTTTTGACTTATCGTGTAGACAAAAAACCTGACATCGGACAGACAGACAAAATAAACCTATAATACTCTTCACAGAATACTGTATGAAGAGTAGAAAAAAAAATGTATGAGGTAAAATAAACAATTTAAAAAGGTTAACAATAATATTCAACTTCTTTTATCAAAGGATACTAAAAGTTTGAAATAGCAGCACATAATTGAACACAGAAATCTATGAACTAAACTAGTGAGATGCATATCGTAAAATGTTATCACACTTAATTCTCCATATGACACTTTCTAAGTGTATTTCACAGAACATTCCAAAGTATTCTTGCTTTCACTAATGTCCTACCCTCATGGCTGTTTTTGCATGTCCAAGTTTACTAAAAAATAATGTGTTTTAATAAATAATAGAATAATAACAATTTTGTTTAAATAGGTAAATCGGCTTCATCTGTATTTTTAAATTATTGTTTAATTATAGATAGTATATTAATGTTTTGATATGTACTTATAGGATTGATTAGCCAGAGCATGTAGATGTGGGATGTGACTTGTTAAATGCCTAATCAAAATCACAATTTACGTTTGATACTTATTTCGAGACTTTTTTCGAGACATTCTTTAGTACCAACTGTAAACTACTTTACCAATACCCTTATTTTTATTTAATACCTGTAGTGATTCTAATTACCATAACATTTAATATTTTTGAAAATACTAAATTATACAAACAAGGCAATAAAAAAATATCATTAAAATAAAATATTTCTAGTTTGTATGTAACAAACGACCTTGGTTAGAGGGTAACACAATTGATAATTGTAAACATAACTTTATATAGGTAAACTATTTAAATGTACATACCATTTCTTAGGTAAAATTTCTCGAGTATATTAAATTAATTGGCTGATCCATTCTTCTGATTTAGACTTAAAGTGAAAACCATTTGTCTCTTTATCTTAATCAAATTTTTATTGTACATTTCCATAATGATGTCAAATAGTTACCTCATCAGAATAATTAAATTTTTCCTTTTAGCAGATTTTGTGGGAAAAAATTTAGATTTTTTGTTTACTTCTTACTTCATAGTATTTACAATTGTGTACAAAATAGACCATTTTGAAGTTGTCTTTGGATGGTCTAGATACTGAAACAAAATATAAAACAAATTATAGTCGTAAAACTTTATTACTGCTTTATTATAAAGTAAATAAACAAAATATAACCTTAAAATATTTTATTTATTTACCTTGCCTTAAAAGTTTTTCTTGAACAATAATTACATTAACACACATCCTTCCAATTTATTAAAGTTGCAGTTCTCAATTAAACACATTTTTTAAACAATCACAAATAAAATAATCTTAATTTTATTAAAATAGATGGAATGACAGTATTGCCATTGACAGTTTGTACTTTGATTTGGTACATAGTTGCCAGAATGTTTTTGTTATGTACCAGATTTGTCGTACCAGATTCCTTAAATGTACCAGATTTTTCGAATTCTATTTGCAGTGACATCTAAATTCATTGAAGAGGAAAAAAGGAGATCTTTATTGATAACGAACCCAAACAAGGAACACAATATATACATATATTTTACACGTGAACACTGATGCATGCAGAATGTACTACATCTAGTACAATTGTGAATTGTACTAGACTGGCAACACTGGTTTGGCAAACTTGTTTGTGAGCGGCGCGCCAATTAATTTGTTCTTTGACAGTTTGAAGGATCTGTTGGCGTGTTTTCATCTCTTTTTAGCTATATGTATTCGTCAAATCGTCTCACTCGTGTTAGGCTCACTCATCATAATGCGCCACAGACAAGGTTTACTTAGATATATTGTGCCACAGAGACGCGATCAGCCAGAAAGCAATGATGTACCAAAAAATATAGATTAACACGTATGAAAATAAAAATATTAAAATTAAATTTATATTTTTATGTTATTTATGTAATTTTAAAATAATGTGTCTTTATGAAATTGAACTGGGTGTTCACTGCACAAATGAACCAATGGAGAAACCGCCCCTGCGGTCGATATTTATAGTTACTTAAAGATTTTTGTAATAGTTTGCACTAATTCAATCTCTAGTCGGTAGGTAACAGCACCTCCTTGATTGAATCTAAATTGACATAATTTTGTTCAGAAATTCCTAGGAGACGCAAAACTGGTTGATTAAATTAGCTAGTACCAAAATTGCTGATTAATGAAGGTTATGATAACTCTTATAGAAATATCATTATAGCAGCATTTTTGTGGTTTCACATGCCTAATTAATTTTTATTTTCTTATAGCACGAGAGAGATGCCATTCCAGATATAGAAACTGGTAGTAGTAATAGAAGAAATCAATCAGTATGGTATGAAGTATCTAGAATACTATTACAGGCTTTCACATTAACATTCTTAGCGGAATGGGGCGATAGATCTCAATTGACGACAATTATTTTAGGTGCCAGAGAGGTATCTTTCATTCTGATGTTTCATTAAAACAAAAAATTGAATACCTTATTTTTTTTTAGAATGTTTACGGTGTTATAATCGGAGGAGTGTTAGGACACTCTGCCTGCACGGGTGTGGCTGTGCTGGGAGGAAGAATGATCGCTCAGAAAATATCAGTAAGAACTGGTAAGTTTTATTAATTTTTTATTTAGTTTTTTGGTAATACTTGGTTATTGTCAGGGTTTCTTAATGTTAAGCGAATATTTAAGGGTCTGTTTTAGCATTTCAACTTTGTTTACATTTATTTTGACATAATCCTCAGAAACAATAATCATTAATAACTATTGAATAATTGATTCGTATTAAGTTTGAATATATAAGTAAATAATTCGTGTTTTTTGTTTGTTTTAGTGACCCTTATTGGTGGTGTAGTATTTTTAGTGTTTGCATTTTCGGCCTTCTTCTTTGATCCTAATGCTACATAGACGAACAATATTTTATAGGTTATTATAATATATGTATGAAGTGTAAATAATACGGTATAAAAATTACCTCGTTTTGTATTGATTTTGTAAATTTATTTTATAAGTAGTTTAATTATTAACCTTTCCAGAATAGATAACTGTGCAGCATTTAACAAAACGCAGATCGTATTTTTTTTTATTAAAATGATAGAACGATACATGTTTTTAATCTTAAAAAAAATGTATGTGCAAAATTATGATTTTGTTTCGTTACATATGGGTCATTCCACGTCAAATCGACCAATAGTTGGAATCGAACCCTTTCGATTTGGACGAATTTTGGTCAGAAGTTTTCTTTTGTCCTATTATGAAGTTATGCCAAAGGAAAAAAATTAAAAAAATTTTTTCAAGAGTTATGGAGAATTCAAAATTCACTATTTTCCATGTTTTTTAAACTTATGTTTTAAAAATCTCGAAAACTATTGCAATTAAAAAAATCGTTTGGGGTCAGTTTTAAAGGGGATACTTGGGGCTATAAAAAAAAAATTGCCGAGAAAAAATTTTGAAAAATCTTCTAAATGTGAAATTTTGAATTTTTGAAAATTGTCAAAATTGACGATCGACAATAAATTTTTGGCTCAAATGTTTTTGTATACTACCTTGTACCAATCTTAAAAGATCCTGAAATTTTTGGAACTGTGTTTTTTGTTTTTTCAAAAATATGAATTTTTGAAATTAGTTAAAAAATTTTTTTTTCTTAAATTTTTTTTTTTTTTTATTTTTGTCTTAATTGAGTTTTGCAAATCGCGTAATTTTGTTATTTTGAACAATTGAAATTTCTTTTAGTGGCTTAATGATGAGAAAAAAAAACATTAATAATCTTTGTTTATTATTGGTTATTCATTTATTTAATAGGGCAATACAAGTGTAAGTTTACTTTACATTCTGTTATGAAATCCTCCTTGTACTGTTGTTGCTCCTTTTCTTTTTCTTAATCTGAACAATGTTAATATAACTTTAATCTTTAAATCCAAATTCGATATACATAAAGTATTTACACATGAATTTCAGTTTTTTTTACCTGCTTTTAATATCTGGTTCTTCAACGAACTCGTAGATATCTGTATTTTTTAATCGAAAATCCTGTCCTTGCTCAGATGAGGATAAGGTTTTTACTCTAATCACATCACTCGAAATGGGAATAGCAGTATGACAATTTCGGATCCCTTGTACTGGCAGAGCATTTTTGAATCTTTGGTTAAGTTTTTTTTGAGTACGTTGAATCTGCTCATTTGAAACAAAGTGACAGTAGATTCCATGAACATTTTCTTTTGCCCATTGGAATAATTCATCGGGTGTTTGAATTTGGTCTTCAGCTTTAGATTGGAGGTTGGCTCTGTCAACCTTCCGCTTCAATGCTCCGCCTAAACCATCACTTGGACCTTTTCCATGTGAAGTTGCAAAAAAATGCCATTCCGCTGGTATTTAAAAATCATCCTCATGATGCAGCAAGTTCAGTAAGTTGTACCGATTTTTATATTGAGATGCTGCACCATCCGAAAAATAAATTATTTTAGAAATATTTGGGATTTTATCTTTCAGAAACGATGTCAGTACTTCCTGGAAACTATAAACTGCTGTTGTGTTATGCGTCAAGTTGTCTGAAATGATTATCAAACTTAGAGGTACTATATTGTCGCCATTTTCACCAGTAGATCTATAATAGCAAGCAAATGGATGGATTGTCGCTTGGCTATTATTCCAATAAGCTCCTTGGACACTGTTTTGAAGTAAAAATGAGTAATTTTCCGAGAAGTCAGCAACAACAAGTACTTGCCCAACTTCGAGATTCTTTTTCGTATTTTGGAAAAATTCAGCCTGTTGACGAGCAATAAAATCATGCTGAAGCAATTTTGGAATAGATTCTACCAAATAATCAACGAAATCATCAGTTGATTTCACAATCGTTTCCAAAGAACATCGATCTACTTGAGTCCATTGTTTGTACGTTACTTCATCTACAAAGTGATCATTGAAAATACTTTCGATCGTTCTTCTTAATTTTGTCGAGTCAGGACAGTTACTACAGGTTCCCAAATAGCAGTCACTCGTAGGTTGAGGGCAAATAACCATTTTTAAGCAATCTCGATATGAAGAAAATGCCGGTTGACTTTCATCGTTATATTTTAATTTGTCAAGTTTTGCACCATGAAATGACAGTTTAAAATTTGTGAATGAGACAGACACAAACTACGTGAGTGCCAGATGAACCAGCTAGAACACATAGTCTTAGACTAGCAAATTTTGAAAAACTGACTTTTTCAAATGGGTACTTCTGCTTGAACAATTAATAAATTTCATTAAAATTACCCAAAATTAGCCGTTTCTGTTTTTGTACCCGTTGACCATTCTCATGAACTGATTTATATTCTTTTTTACCAGGTAATTCTCTACTTACATCTTGGTTTCGATAAAATTGTTGAATTTTCTCTTCAGTACTTTTTAATAATGAATGACCTTTGTTTCTTTGCGGAGTGAATAGAATACCGTCTTCACTGACTTTCTGTTTTACTTTTTTCACCATATATGTAGATGCTCCAAATGCATCAACAATTTTTTCTGTCGACCAACTTAAAGGCAAAATAGATAAAATCTGTAATTTTTCACTCACTTTGCTGCAATTATTATATTTTTCTTTTAGCTGACTTATTATTTCTTTTCCGGTTAATTCAGTAGTATCGTCAATGTTCAATTGTTTATTTTTAATTATGTCAGAATCATTTTCCATGAGATGTTCAAAGCATGATTGCAGTTTCGACGTCATGTCATGATATTTCCGTTGAGCGTATGTTTTTGACCTATCTAAATCTTTTCTCTTAATAGGAGATAAATTAAAAATTCTGGCAGTAGAATTGAAACGATCTAGATGTATTTCAGTAGGTGTAAAAGTTTCACTGCTTGAGCTGCACATTTCAGATGTTGAAGTTGTCACATTTGACAACTGCAAGTTCTCAGATAAATTAGAGGACATTTTTTCGTCGACCAGGCTTTGAATGAATAGTGGTCAGGTGTTTCAGATGGTTTCGATGATTTGAAGACGGAATCTTCAGAGACACTCTCAACTGCTTGACTTTTTTCGATATTCACAGTTTTTTCAACTGTTTTAACTATATTTTGATGTTTTGGTAATTCGCTATAGACTCTTTTAGTACACGAAATGCATAGTTTATTTCCCGGTATAATGGAAGGTACACTAACCTTACACTGTTCAAACAATTTTAAACTGACTGGTCTCAAAGATTTACGAACTATACTGTCATGAAGGTTAAAGGGATCAGCACAAGCTGTTTGATTTGAAGTATAATTGATACGATACCGCTTGTCATGTTCAGAGCAAATAAAACTAACTTCTGTACCACTTCTAGAATTCAAAGCAATCTGATCTTCGTCAGAAAAATTTTTGCAATCAATAAATTTTTCCTCAGAGCATATTTCATCCTTGAATAGTCCAATCGAACACTTTTTATTTTCCATCACTAATTTTTTATCTGTTCTGCACTCAAAATTTTAACTAGATAATGTCCTCGAATTTAAGACTTGATAAGATGATTGTCAGTAGTTTAGAATTTGAAGAAAGAGTTATTTCTATACAGTTACTGAGAATGATGACTGTCTTCGTAACTAAACTCAGAAAGATTAACTTCATCTTAGACGTGGAGATTCAAACGTCACATCATAGATGTCACCCCGTTTCTACTTTAACATCAAATGATAATACAGGTGCCACTGTCATCATTTTTACGAGTTTGATTTTGAAATTGATCTCAAAAATTGTCATTGAAGTTTTTTCTCATCATTATGCCACTGAAAGAAATTTCAATTGTTCAAAATAACAAAATTACGCGATTTGCAAAACTCAATTAAGACAAAAATTAAAAAAAAAAAATTAAAAAAAAAAATTTTTTTTAACTAATTTCAAAAATTCATATTTTTGAAAAAACAAAAAACACAGTTCCAAAAATTTCAGGATCTTTTAAGATTGGTACAAGCTAGTATACAAAAAAATTTGAGCCAAAAATTTATTGTCGATCGTCAATTTTGACAATTTTCATAAATTCAAAATTTCACATTTTGAAGATTTTTTAAAATTTTATTTCGGCAATTTTTTTTTATAGCCCCAAGTATCCCCTTTAAAACTGACCCCAAACGATTTTTTTAATTGCAATAGTTTTCGAGATTTTTAAAACATAGTGAAATTTTGAATTCCCCATAACTCTTGAAAAAAAATTTTTAAATTTTTTTCCTTTGGCATAACTTCATAATAGGATAAAAGAAAACTTCTGACCAAAATTCGTCCAAATCGAAAGGGGTCGATTTGACGTGGAATGACCCATAATTATTAAAAAGAACCTAAATACGGCCATTTGTAACGAAATTCGATTAAATTATTGAAATTTTCTTTCGAAATCATGTCGAAAACTTTTTTATGGCCTCGGGATTTATTCGTTTTGGAAAATTTTCTTACACTTTGTAAAAATAATTAAAATAAATCTTTTGCTTTACGAATAGACTAAAAATTAGCGGATACTCGACGTTCCTTACAATCTGGCAATATTCACTTGTGAGTTCAGTTCGTTAATTGATTTTCTGTTCAGCAACGTTAAAGGTAAAAGGATAAATAAAATAATTCGCAGTAAATTATTTAATTTATTTTTCATTTCAAATTGTTTAAACGTCATTAAAAATGAATCGGGAATTGCCCAGTTAGTGCAACTCTTCTCTGCGAAATGGCATCATTTTTCGGAAACGAAATATAACGCATACGATGTTAGTCACGAACATTTTTCAGATTATACAGTAGATGCAGCAGTAAATTTTTGCGGGAAATTAGCAAAAGTTTCAAACTATACAGTTTATTGAGCATTAAAAAAACATAGTGTAGAATATGAAAAAGAAGGATCAAAAACAAATAACTTTAGAAGATTATCAAACACGTTAATCGACAAAAATCATTCACATTCACTGTGAATAAAAACAGTGACGAGTTGTAACTCGTCACTGTTTTTATTCTGTAGATTGATACCGATTTTCGAAAAATATCGCGTGCACTACGTTAAATGAATTTTCGTTATTGTAAGAAAAATCGTGATAGTGCACTGGCAATAATAATTCAAATAGAAGTT